TCAGCGCCACCTTGGTTGCGTTGTGCGGCAAGGGCCGTTCGACGCCGCTAGCGGCTTTAATTATTTTTGTTATTATGTCACACATTTGCAGAGGTCTGTACAGCGTAGCTTGGCTCTGAGACAGGAGCAGTGCCCAACTCCACGGACAACCTCTTCACAGAATGTATAGCTGCGGCTGTATTGCTGCTTGATCGACTTAGGCCTGTAATGACATTAAAAGATACATATTGTGTGTTCATGAGCAACAATAAGATTTGTCTTTACACCATTGTTGCATTCACTCTTGATGCCGACAATATCCAGACTTCTTTGATACACAATGATTCGATCATGATTTCAAAATGAGTACTGGTATGTGGAAATGTAGACTATATTTGTATGCTACAATTCTGATGTCCTCAAACGCTGTGTTTGGATGATTGTACCTTCATTAGATGGCTATGAATTCCTTTCAATAGTTTGAGCCTACAGTATCCATATCACATTTTGATATGAACTTATTTACCTTTTCGTATCTTTCTCCTTCTTGCTGAGGAATCTTGTGTACTCCCGATAACAGGACTGATAATATTTCACCTCCATGGCTACACAATCTTTGTCCTGGATATGATGGAGAATGTGCTCATCACTTTTGGCCTCAGCTGCTTCACAGAATAGACCTGGAAATGACAAACAATTTAAAATGTTATGAATTATTTCATCCCATCATTAGTTGCAACTAAACAGAGAGGACTAAGTCAATAAAGACACCACATGGATCTACAATGTATAAGTATGCCTACTAATAATATAATGATGCTAGCATGCAGTCATCACAGCTATGCAATTATAGTATGGATAATTACTCTGCCTAAATAAATGACCTGCCAGCAATGCAATGTTTCAGTGGTCGCAGAATTACTATTGCAACAACACATCATCAGTAGGGTAAAACTTACCTGTCTCACGACGGTCTAAACCCAGCTCACGTTCCCTATTAGTGGGTGAACAATCCAACGCTTGGTGAATTCTGCTTCAGTGATAGGAAGAGCCGACATCGAAGCAGATTTTCATAAAAGGCCTACTTGTATTGAATATGTAATTTTCATTTCATTTATTTCAAGCCTGCAGGTATACAGACAGGAAAACATAAATACAAAGTCTGCTACATAAATACAAAGGGGGATGATATTTTATATATAAATATTGATTTATATTTGCATCTTTCTTTTTAATGTACTGTGGTTATGAGTTTAATGCTATCTTATTTTGTTCAGCGCTTTGAGTTGCCTTGTGTATGAATTGTGCTATACACATAAACTTGCCTTGCCTTGCCTTGATAGAAGCTTCCGCATATAAACAACCACCCCCCCAAACACTCCACTCACAGATATAACACTCCACTATGATATACAGATATAACAAGATAAACACTCCACTCACAGATAAAACAATCCTTTACCTGAGCCCTAGTCTGAGCAACTGGAGCCAGAACGGAGAGAGAACTGGCTTCCAGCTGGCTTGGAGCTACTCAGTGGGTGTAATCTTTAGGATTTTGTCACTTTAGCTCCTTGAACAGGAAAGAAGAACAACAACGCCCGCACACCCAGCTTAACACTCCGTCCACTTATCCCGCAGCCAGTGCTGACGGAATTGACTAAGCAGTTCCACACTTGCTCGTTCACGAGAGCACAGAATAGAAAATGGTCAGTTTTTTGCTACCCACAGTACCCTATCGTTTAACAAGGAAAAAAAACCCCATCAAACTGCGTAGTGTGATCACCATGCATTCTAGTTTGCTCCTAGATCAATGACCAAAAATTATCTGGAATTTGTTTGACACAACAACTCTGCCCTTTTACCACCAAACAATTGGCAGTGGATTTTGATTCTGCAGCCTCGATTATTTATTCGTAGCAGAATTTGTGTTTCTTAGCTTCTTATTTTACACTGCAGTAAAACCGTACCTGCAGATTATGGCTGCATTCCGAATGCACAGTTAAGAATTAAAAGATTCCATATTGCAATGAGGTTGTGTCCCACCAATTGATCATCACCGCTAGTGAACTAGACATGTTGTCCCCCATCTGAACTACATAAATAAAAAATACATGTTGATTTCTAATGACAAATTTGAAAAAGTAGTACTTGGGAGGTTAACTGCTACAAAAATGGTAATCTGTGTAAAATAAAATACAGATTATGCTAAACAAATGTATTTTCCTTGAAAACAAAATATACCTCTCTGTATTGAATTTCATTGCATCTACAAAGTAACTAGTCATGCAGATTTGTGTACATAATGCCTAGCCTGGAAATTCTTGGTAAGATGGTAATATATAGTAACAAAACTAGTCTACTGGTCGCTGCTTTTCTAGTCATAGTCGACTATCTGACTTATGTCTCCCAAACCAACTCAATACTAAATATACTGCCGTTTTAGTAACACCTAGGAAGCCGATGTGAGTGAGTGGTTGGTGGTGGTCGGAGGGGCCGATGGCGCAGACTTGGGCGCCTCGCTTCAGTCAGTCTACCCCAGGGCAGCTGTGGCTATAATAGTTGCTTACCACCACCAAGTATGGAGTGAATGAATAGTGCAATGTTAAGCGTCTTTGAGTGTCCAGAAAAGCACTACATAAAACTGATGCACTTATTATTATTATTATAAATAATGAGGCCATGACATTAAAATTTTCTGTGATCATTTGCAGAAATATATACCTTTTATCTATTTTTTTCCAGCACCATCCACTATCTAGTATCCGCAAGGAAAGGAAGGTGAAGAAGCACTGGAATTTGAGGAGACAAGTGTCCCAGAAGAGTTGCAACAAGAAGTGTCAACACCCTGCATGGAAATGCAAGGACCTGCAGCAGAAACGGAATTAGGCATTGACCTCAGAAATGATTCACCAGCGATGATTCTAAATACACCTGAAACAAAAGAAAATGAAGAAAGGAAATAATTTTATTTTTACTATCCAGTTAACCTGATCATACATCTAGGAGAGTGACAATTGACCAGGAGCAAAAACACTGACACATTGCAAGTAATGTATACAAATGTTTCATGTCAAACTTCAGTACTTTTAGTATTTACACAATACAATACAATACAATTATTCTTCTGATATGCCACGAGGTCACAACAGATAGTCATCGCAGAGGACTTAACTAAGCCTTTGAAATCACGATCACAGGTCAGACGAATCCAACACGGTAAAACACAGGAAGAATATAAAAGCACACACAGGAAGAAAATGTCCCTATACATGTGTAGAATGGTTGAAGTGTACCTGATCATCACCATCTTCCTTTCTGTCGGAACACTATCTGTCCACCAAGACCCTCCTGCGATCGACCAGGAAAAACCTCTAAAAAACCCAGTGGGAAGAAATAAGTGAGAAACCTTGGAGGAGAACTAAAAGATTCCATATCGTTTCATTCCCTACTTATACAATGTCCTGATAAAACTTTTTCTCGATTAGAAATGTTAAAGTCTATGCTGGAATTGTCGTTGACTCTACATATCAATAAAATTGTATCTGATGACGGTTATTGCTAAAAAGTACCAGTCCATAAAAAGTGTGAAGAGGGTATGGCCATTTTAATCTTTAAAATTTTAAAATAGAAATGTAATCTCAAATGAATGACACATGGAGGGGCAAATCAATAATAACATAAATAATACCAATGCATGCCACTGTTTTCTGGTTGCTATTTATGACATCGCTATGCATAATGGTCGGCAGCTCCACACCGAAAGCAACAATGAAATGCACTAGTTGTGTGGGGAATAAGTGAATTTCGTGCAGTTAGCCGTTTTTGGGCTTTGTGGAAAAAAACTGTGTCCCTCTCGTACACTGTACAAGCTGGTGCCACTCGACGAGACGGAAGCGCGATTCCAGCCACATTGTAAACAGGAAAAATGCGTTTGGAATGGCATAACATAGTTAATGTTATCGATGCTTGAATGGGTATTTAAATATTCCTACAAGTGGAGGACACATGGTATGTACACATGGTCGTTCATACCATGGGACGGATGGGAGGGGTATATTGTATATGTCGGGATACTCCGAGCCTTGGGCCATGCCGTTGGGTTGTTTCCCAGGACGCTGCTGTATGCCGATAGGGACAAGATTGGTAAACCTACAAGCGACAGACTTTCTGTGGTTACCTGGGTCGAATGCAGGCGCTAGGAGACTGTCAATATACTGAGAGGACAGTGCTGCAATAGAAGAAGATCTGGAGTCATATAGTTGCCTTTCACAGACATGTAGCCAGGTCACAAAGCCTTTACATGAGTGTTAACATTCACTCCATACATGTGGTATAATACATCATCAGTGGACATCAAGCTGCAGGCAAGAGAAAATAAGATTAAAACTAAAACTGGCGATTATAAGTGTACAAACTACAACTGAAAAAGGTGGTCCTGTTGGGGCGTAAGGTGGGCAAGAACAAGAGGAATTACATTTGCCGTGAATAAACTAATGGTTTAGCTGATAATCGTTCCAACAACAGTTAGACATGTCCTTTCATTGCTACTCTGACAGCATACAATGGAAATTAGATTGGAATTTCAGATTGTCCTGAGCCTTCCAGCTAAGCAAGACCCTGAAAGTGTTACGACCACCACCATACATTCGCATACACACAGAGATCAAGTCATCCAATAATGCAAAGTTGTCCGTTAGGTGAGCCAATAACGGACATAATCCACGGCAAAACACTATGTCCAATAGATACCTTTTATGAGATTCGGCCCTCTCGTTTGTTTTTGACCCATTCAAGCACATGCGGCGGCGCGGGGTCTCATTGGGTTGCCTACGCAGGTCACATGATTC